TATATATATATACATAATAGATATACTCGTAGAAAAAAAAAAAAAAAAACGCACATACTACATGTCACTATTGAATATTTATTTTTCAGAATTATAATTATTAGCATTGGAATAAATAGGATTTTTGTATCTTTTTAGTGTAAAAGAATAATCTTTTTATATTATTAATTATTAGACATATTTTCAATTTATCTTTATGCTTAAAAATATACAATGTTATTGAATTCCTGAAAGATACCATGCAGGAGTAATTGATTTGGTTGGTGTGGGTGTTGCACTGGTGCAACAAGGTGAAAATGGACGGCGACTGACGACTGAACAATACGAACAAACGTAAAACCAGACATTATACGTACGACTAAATGAAGGACAGACGCTAGACAAACTGACAACATTCAGGTTAGGGGACCTTACCAATAATAGGAGTCACGGTAAAGTCCATGGCTACATCAGTGAATATGTAGATGGGGTGGGCCGACTCCACCTGACTCGGACGAATGGACAGATACCTTCTTTTATTTATTGTCTTTTTCTATATAATCGTATACCCTAGTCTTTCATCACGTGGCATGAAAGTAGGAATTTGCTTATGTCAACTGGAAGTAAGGAGATTGGAAGAAAAATCCACCCAACGACGAGCTAGCCTGGGATGCAAGCATGCCACAACTCCAACCAACCTTACACCAAAAATCAGTGACGTAACACAGGGTATCTACGGCGTTTGTTGGCAGCTATTGATCCAATAAGAATTCACGTTGACAATTTAAGCGCACAGTAATTGGCGAAGAATCCAATATACCACTCCAGAAGCAAGCACATAGATATTAAGTACCATTTTGTGAGAGAGGCATTAAATAAGAAACAAATTGAAATTGAATATGAAATGATTGCTGATATACTTACAAAGAATTTAAGTAAAAATAAACATGAAAAGTTTGTAAAACTGTTAGGTTTTGAACAAATACAATGTAAACGACCTACTCGTGTTGAGGAAGAGTGATGAAAAAGTAGTCGGGTCGAATTGCAACACGAATAGATCATAATCAGTAATACAACTCTGTATTGAATTTAACGTTCCCTTTATATACTTTGAATTAAATGAACACTGAATATGTTTTTAGTCTTTGAATAAACCTCTCTAGATCAAAACGTGTTTTCCTTATTGATACGGTTCTCGGCTCTGCCCCCAAAAATTTTAATGATCTTGATTAATCTTGATTATTCAGTAACCTCGAACAACGAATTCGAAGCCAGACATACACGAGGAGAACGAGCATAATTGAATTATAAATGACTCGATACTTATTAAACACAAGAATAGAAACGGTCCTTTTTAGAACCACACTTTTCCAAACGAAAAGATAAAAAAAAAAGACTTAAATATTTTATTTTATTTATTTTTTTAGATATTTAGATTATTACGAAATATTTTAGTTTATTTTAACTCTGTAACTAGAACTCAAATACATATATTGATATACTTATGTATATATGTACCCACTTGAATACATTTAAGTATATGCGTTCAAATATACAAATGTGATGTGTGTGCACAAAATCTTGCGCGTCGGCTGAGTGATGCACCACACACACAGAATCAATGCACCACTCAGACGACGCGAAAGATTTTGCGCTTCTGCTTTGAACAGACCACTCGTCCAGGCATCAATGTCGGGCAAATCGTATAACTCCAGTTTGGGTATCACTTTGCGATCCTTCCTTATTTTATTATCCTGATAGCGCCAAATTGCCAAAGCACTACCGTCGGCAGCCTATTGTTTCATTTAAAGCAAAATCATTGAAACATTAAAAAAAATCAGAAATTTAATTTTATAAATTTTTTATAAATTTAATTTTATAACTTTCATTACAAAAAAAAAATCATTATCACAATTTCACAAATCGAAAGTTTTTCTTGTCAAATTTTTCTTTTAAAATCAAAGAGTTTAAATTTCTTTTAACAGGCCTATTCTGTCGAGGTAACAAAGTTTACCTAGGTATTAAAATTTACCATTCAGTAAATTTTGTTACCTTTTCGTATTCTGAACTCACTGTTACCCTGTAACTTTTGTTACTAGCGAAATAGGAGGTAACAAAAATATCTGCTGTTTGAATTTGTGTTGTTAGTTTCAGAAAAAATGAAAACCAAAATGGATAGGCACATTTTAGGCCTGGAATTCATTGAAGATGAAGAAAAAAGTGCAAAATGCCGTATTTGAAGAAGTTTTCGAGACAAACAATAGCCCTTTAATTTGTAAGATATCGTTTTCATACAGCTTTGTATTTATTTTCCATAATTAGGTTCAAATATTTATGATTTAATAAACACATTAATAAAACTTTTTAATTTTTTTGTGCACCGTCTTCAATTTCGGTGTGAATATTTTGCTTTTTACATTATCAACTGACAAACGTAATTTGCAATGGACGAAAAAAGCAGTGCTGCCAAATTTTTTCAAACATTGTAACCAGTTCGCCAGAATACCAAATTCAATTTCGGGTGTTAAAGAAAAGTAACAAAATAACAGTGAGAATAGGCCTGTAATTGTCAAAAATTCAAAACTGTTATGGTAAAACAATTTGCCATCAAAATGCATGTCTACCCGCTGATAAGTCAAAATTTTACGCGCCTCGACCACAATGTAATGGAACTTACCATGCCCTCGTCCAACATCTCCAATTCACTGAAACCGGCGCCCTCACGCCCAACCCCAACCACTGCTATTGACCGAAACTCCTGATCAATATTGCTAAAAACTTTTCCTTTGCCAAATTTGCCAGATAAATTCGTTCTTTAAGCATGAAGAAAAATAATTCAGCTCGAAGACATGCATTGAAATTCAAAGAGTTGTCGGTACATATGCTGCAACTACCCAACGTGCGTACTAGCCGTCCATAGTAACCTATCTTATGAGAGTGCCATGTAAACACAAAGTTGTCACCGTTGGTGATGGTTGTTCCGCAGAAACCAAAGAAAATTTGATTTTTTCCGTAAAACCGGCTCGACTCATTTTTCGTTGCTTTACAAGGTTGCCAGTATAGTTTTTCTTAAAGTAACATTAAATAATCGAAGAAAATGCGTAGTTTTTTTCAAAACAAAGGAAAACTGAATGCGTAACTAATTATTTGTTACCATATAGATCATGTGTTTATATTCAAGCATATAAATTATGAAATTCGTTGACGAAAATTATGAATTCGTTCAAAAGTGTGCAAAACCCACTAGCAGCTGGCAACATTTCGCCGCCCTCAGCAGCGTCGATAACTCGTGTATGTATCTCGCCTTTTTGTCGCCACTTATGGACGGCTGGTAAGTGAAATGGGTAGTTGCAGCCTTACTCCTTATTTAATTCCGTTACTTTTCCCTGCACACGATCATCGAATTTCTCGCCACTCGATGTTAGCTTCGTCTCCTTCTCGCCCTCTTTCTGATACAATCCAATCACAAGTCCCTTCTGTGAAGTGTATTTGGTAAAATTTTTAACATCTCAACACAATAAGGTGCTAAGTGCTGCGGATATTCGTAACGAATGCCACTTACCGTCACCCGCGAATCATCGGCGTAATACGTAAGAGAGACTTGTTTGAGATTTTTCACATTTTGAAATCTCAGTAGAGATTTTGTAAGCCAATTCGTTATTCGTAGCGCAGACATTTTTTGGATGTTTGATTAATCTAATTTTATTATCGCCTTTTATGGATATTTTTATAAAAGAAAACGATTTCAGTTTAAAAATTTTCAATAAAAAATATAATTGAAATTTCGAACTGACTGAATGTTTTTCAAAGCCTGTTACGGTTCGTTTGAGTTTCTAGAAACAAAGTGTTCGTACCATGAATTTTTGTATCATGGGTTCGTACTTGAGAGCCAACTATCAAATCTTATGGTTTTGTTTTTAATTTTTTTTGCTTTGAGAAGAGCAAAATTTAGTTTTTTAGTGTTTAGAATTTGATGTGCTTACTTGAAAGGACTTTCTCTTGAGGTATTCTTCTATTTTAAAGATTTTGTTTATTCTTGATTATTCAGTAAAGTCGAACAACGAAGTCGAAGCCAGACAAATTCGAGGGGAACGAGCATAATTGAATTCCTTTTAGGACTACAATTTTCCAAACGAAAAAATAAAAAAAAACTTAAATAAATTTTTTTAGATATTTAGATTATTACCAAATATTTTAATTCAATATAACTTTGTAACTAGAATTCAAATACATATATTGATACACTTATGTATATATGTACCCACTTGCATAAATTTAAGTATATGCGTTTAAATATACAAATGTGATATGTGGACACAAAATCTTGCGCGTCGGCTGAGTAATGCCCCACACACATAAAATCTATGCACCACTTAGACGACGCCCACGATTTTGCTCTTCTGCTTTTAACATACCTCTCATCAAGGCATCAGGGTCGGGCGAATCGTATAACTCCAGTTTGGGTATCACTTTGCGACCCTTCTTCATTTTATTATCCTGATAGCGCCAAATTGCCAAAGCACTAACTACGACAGCCGATTGTTTCATTTAAAGCAAAATCATTGAAATATTTTAAAAAAAATTATAAATTTACTTTTATAAATTTTTTATAAATTTAATTTTATAACTTTCATTACAAAAAAAATCATTATCACAATTTCACGAATCGACAGTTTTTCTGGGCAAATTTTTCTTTTAAAATCAAAGAGATTAAATTTCTTTTAATTGTCAGAAATTCAGAAATGATATGGTAAAACAATTAGCCATCAAAATGCATGTCTACCCGCTTATAAGTCAAAATTTTAAGGGCCTCGACCACAATGTAATGGAACTTACCATGCCCTCGTCCAACATCTCCATTTCATTGAAACCGGCGCCCTCACGCCCAACCCCAACCACTGCTATTGACCGAAACTCCTGATCAATATTGCTAAAAACTTTTCCTTTGCCAAATTTGCCAGATAAATTCGTTCTTTAAGCATGAAGAAAAATAATTCAGCTCGAAGACATGCAT